CAAGTAAGTTGTGGGGGAAATTTTAGGCCTAATTTGAATTGGAGAAAATCGGGGAATTCTGTAAAGGAATGTTGGCAATGTAGAAATTCAAAACATTTTAGGGCGGAATGTCCGGCATTAAGGTTGTGGGGTCAGGAAAACTAGGTTTTGCCAAATGGAACGGGGACGGTTTGGCAAAAAAGGAAGAGTCCCCGGTTTATTATAAGTTAAATCGTGTTTTTAGTAATGCTTTCTGTTTTGAAGAAAAGCTTGATGATAACCTTTGTAATTTTAAGATTGAAACGGGCTCAGACGTTTCTGTTGTTAGTAACAAATTTGTGGAAACTTCGAAAGAAGTTTTTCCAATTGGAAATCGTCGTTTAATTGATCCAACTGGAGAAATGGTTCAGGTACAGTTTGGAACAAATATGAGAGTGAGTCTGGGAAGATGTTTTATAGATTTTTTTTGTTTACTGTTGACATGAGAGAGGATTGTCTTTTGGGAGGAAATTTTTTGTCATCTGTTAATTTGGAATCTTGTCTTCGTTCAGTTTTAGGAGTTCCTCAGTGTGGCAATGATAAAAATGATTTTGTGTATGCTAAAATTAAGAAGAGAAATGTTGTTCCTTCGTTTTTATTGAAGTTATTTGAACGAGATTCAATAAATTTGAATTCTTCTCAAAAAGAGTCTTTGGCTGAAATATTGTTTGAATTTCAGAATATTTTCTTTGAGGAGATTGTGGATGGAAATTGTGATGTTTTGAAACATGAAGTTAAACTTAACGATCCTCGGCCTATTAAACAAGTTCCTCGCCGAGTTCCTTTACATTTGCGGTTTAATGCGGACAGGATTATTAATTAAATGATAGAGAAGGGAGTTATAGAAGAATCTCAAAGTCTTTGGGTATCTCCTGCAGTTTTAGTGAGAAAGAAAGATGGTTTAACTCGCATTTGTGTTGAATTTAAGAAATTAAATTCAGTTACAATAAAGGACTCATTTCCTATTCCGCGTATTGATGACACGATCAATCAATTGTCTAGGAATTCTTGATTCTCAACTTTGGATTTGAAAAGTGGTTATTGGCAATTTAAGTTACGTCCTGAAAAAAAGGAAAAGACACCTTTCTCAATTGAGAAATGTTTATGACAATTTACAGTTTTGCCTTTTGGATTGTGTAATGCTCCGGCTACTTTTCAAAGATTTATGGAGCAAGTTTTGCAAAAGTTTTTGTATAAATTTTGTTTAGTTTATTTGTATGATGCGATAATTTATGGTAAGACTTTTGAAAGTATGATTGAACGCTTAAAGGCTGTTTTTCTGCAATTAACCCCTTGCCGTGCCATTTACCTCGACGAAACTCGGGCCCAAGTGTTACGCGTCAACGCGTGGTAAACAGATCAGACTGATGCGCGAGAAAGGTCACAATACGAGCCGAAATGTAAATGACTCTGATATAGACACTTTTGCACAATACTGCTGTTGTGGAAATAAACTCTAATACCATTTGTACTTTTTATTTATTTGTAATCGATTTATTACATTATAATTATTATACTATATTGTATTTTGTAATCGATAACAGTTACAAAATTATATTTCACGAATTCAATAGAACAGTTTAACAGTTCAACAGAAATTCTTGCATCTTCAACTGTGGGTTTGTTCCAAGGAATGTAATAATACTACGGCTAAAAATAAAACTATGTTTGATCCGACTATCTGTACACGACCTCGGCTCGTGATGTTTACGTTTGGCGCGACGATCTATTTACGAGCCTGGCTCGTCATATTCATGTTTGGGCCAAAATTTTCATCACGAGTCAGACTCGTTAAAGCACGGCAAGGGGTTAAAGTCTGCTCATTTAAAATTGAATCTTAAAAAATGCATTTTTTTTGTAAATTCTGTTAAGTTTTGGGTCAAATGGTTTCTAATGAAAGAATTTCGAAGGATTCAGAAAAAATTTCTGCTGTTTTGGATTGGCCGATACCTCAAACTAAAAAACAGCTTCAGAGTTTTCTTAGATTTTGTTCTTATTACCGGAAATTTGTAAAAGGTTTTCTTTCATTGCAAAGCCTTTATTTGTTCTTTCTGAAAATCAATCGAAATTTATTTGGTCTTCTCTATGTCAAGAAGCTTTTAAAAGCTTAAAATAATCTTTGATTGCTTCTACGATATTGTCTTATCCCATGGAGCATGGGGAACTTATTCTTGATACTGACGCAACAAATTTTGGTATCGGTGCAGTTTTATCTCAGATTCAGGAAGGTCGAGAGAAGGTCATTGCTTATTTTAGTCCGGTTTTAAATATATCTGAAAGAAATTATTGTACTACTCATCGGGAATTATTGGCTATAATAAAATCGATTAAAACTTTTCATCATTATTTATATGGTCGTAAGTTTTTGATTCGTACGGATCATGCTTCTCTTAAGTGGATTATGTCTTTTAAGGATTTGGAAGGTCAATTGGCGCTTTAGATTGAAAGATTGCAGCAATATAATTTTGAAATTTGTTAGCGAAAAATTTTATTGCATAGTAATGCTAATGGCTTATCAAGACGCCTTTGTGCTGAAGATAATTGTAAGTATTGTTCTAAGATTGAGATAGGTAGTGAGAAGAAAAATGAAGTAGTTGCTAGAATAGTCTTGGGTAAAGACGTTAATGTAGATTGGCGAAAGGAACAATTGGAGGATCAAAGTATTTCAATAATATTTTGGGGATTAGAATCTGGCCGACGTCTTTTGTTGAAAGAAGTTTCCTCTGGAGGTCTGTCTCCTAAAATTTATTTGTGTTATTGGGGTAGTTTGGTTATTAAGAATGGTGTTTTATATAAGAAATGGCTCCAAATTAAAAATCTAGCTTTTTGCAAGTCATTTTTCCTAGTTCTTGCGTGAAACAAATTTTAATTGAAGCTCATGATTCTCCTTCTGGTGGTCATTTTGGGATAAACAAGACTTTAGAGAAAATTCGTAAACGTTTTTATACGGCCACATATAAAAAAAATGTTGAGAATTGGAGAATTGGACAAAACCTTTTAAAAATAACAAATGACAAAGCTTTAATTTTAGTTTCAAATATTACAAGAAGATAGAATCCGATCATCTAGCGGTCATGTGAGACAATCGGTTCCGCGTCTGAATCGACCAGGATATATAACTTTCGATTCGGTTAGCCTGCTCCCGAACAGCGGCTTCGCTTTTTTCCCCGTGACATTCGGCAACGGATTCTAAGGTAGCGTTTTTCGCCAGATGTTCCGCGAGACGTAATTTTCAGCGGCGGATATAGGCCGTTCGACGGCAGCAATTAATTTGATTCGCGTCGCGTCCTCCCTTGCCCGACAACCGTTGAGCGAATCTCTCCGGGTCCTAAGTTGGGCGCCAGACGGGTCTCTCTCCCAGCAATAGTTGCCGCCCTGGCCGGGTCGGTACTCGCCGACGTATTCGCCCGCCGGCAGCAGTCCCTGCACAGGGACGCACAATCGTCTTAATTACGCGCGAGTCCGTACTCTCGTCTTCGGACTTCGAATCAGCGCGGACTGTGCGATCGGCACTGTTTTAGAACGACCAAGTTCCTTCCTGCTAGCCGCCGAGAAGCGGCAGCAATCTCTCAAATTTATTCGCAATACTACTTCCGCGGAATTAATTGCGACTCGACTTTTTAGTCCGCCACTGTATGAGGCCTCGCTCAACCGCTCGCCGCCGGAAACTCGCCTCTTCTTTCCTGGAGCTCCTTTCTAGACACAGCCACGGTCCGAGCTCTCGCACGCTCGCTCGCTCGTTCGCTCGTACGCTCGCTCGCTCGTTTGCACTTCCGTTTCGCACGCTTGCGGGCCGCACCGTGACGAGCTTCGCTCGTCTCATATGAGCAAACGCCTCAGGGATCTATCGCCGTTCCACGCGGCTTCTGATTGTATCCTTCGGCTGAATCATTACTTTTGCGGATGTTCGTGGGACCTCGCGTCTGTTACTGATGGTTTTCGACGCCTTTTCGCCTGCTCTTTTCGGGGCGGAATCCGGCAACTTTTAGGGCTCGCAGTCATTCGAGAACTCCCGGGCGGCCTACTGCAGGATCCTGATCTGCGAACGGGTCGCGGGACCTTGCGCCTCTCTTTCGCAAGGTGGCCATCCCGCTTTCCGTTGCCGTTCCTCCGTCCTGGCGCATCTCTCCCCGTCCCGCCGCATCTCTCTCTAGTTTTCTCTCGGTCGGCTCTTCCCTTCGTCCGTTGTACTGGCTCGCGGGTTTCTCCACTTAAAATAAAGAATAATTAAACCGCTGGTATCCGTCCTGTGCGCAAGCGGCGCACAGGACCAATAATCGGCACTCGGCCGCCCTCTTTCCGCCAGAAGGCGCTGGCCCCCGGCTCCCTCTCGGTCAGGCCACCGCATGAGTGACGGGCAATATTTTGAATCATCACAAAACATACGTCAAATGTCATGCAGTTATGATAATTGACGAAATGCGTAGGACAATAAATGCGAATAAGTGTGTATAATTTTCTCGCGTCTAATGGATAAATTTGATTGCATCGTAACTTGTGTTTCTTTTTCATTTCTAAGTGTCTTTCTTTCATCTCGGCGGAGATTATAAGAGTAATACGTGTTGTATAATACGCTCTCATAAGTTGTTATTTATCTTAATTTTTTTTTTAATATGCATATCAGCGACAGAAATATGCGGCGATTATCAATGCAACAAAAATCCGTACAAACAGACAGGCGCGATTACTTTTCTAAAATGTCGATAACTTGCAAAGAATATCTTGCTTTGCGACTAAAGCGAAATAATAACGAAAAGGCTAACTTTCTACATTGTGCTTTATAGTTAGACAGTTCGCATGTATGTCAAGTGTAATCGACCGCACTTTACCTGATATGCCGTCATCAACAATGCAAATTTCCATTCGCCGTTTCACGTAGCTATTCACCAAGAGAATGCGAGATAGCTGCAGGATTACGTGTCGGGCCGCTTTCGGCCGTGAACAATTTTACAGGTGCACTCTACTACCGGAAGCACGCCAGAATGGACATGGAGCATTATAAAATCAATCGGCTCGTTATGTCATGGATCGGTCAATGGCCCGAGCAAACTGGATTCAGTAGAATTTTCCTCTCTTTTAATCTCATCTTTGCGGTCAGCAGTCAGCTTTGCTTGCAGGTTAGCGAACATCGCGCGAACTGACTAACAGCTAAATAATGATTTACGACATGATGATCATTAATTTGTTCATGTAAATAACGCGGAGAGAGCTGTATGGTTAGTCATAAAAAAGTTATAATATATTGTTTTAGATAAATTTCGCAACGCATATTGTACCTAATAAGAAAATATATTTTTTGACAATTACTTAAAAACAAATTCTTCTACTGAACACCGGACAAACGTCCTGAAACTTATAAAAAAAATGTTGCAACTTTTTTGTGACTGATTACATACAACTGAATATCAGGTATTGTCTTTTTTATTTATTGTTAATTATTCGCGACTGTAAAGTAACAAAAACGACTTCTCGCTCGCTTAAATACTGTATGCAGAAATATAATATTCGTTCTTCTCAATAATTCCGAATTAATAAAGTACGATCTCTTATTTCGCACGAGATATGTAGTTTGGTAACAGCATGGAGAGATTGGGACTTTGTCATCGAGTGTTCACCCCCTATTATTATCCACTTACTGTGTTTCGTAAAATTTTTCAATTGTCTATTTAACAATAGCAAGGTACGTGAGCGAGAGTCCTGTGCAGCAAAGCGTGTGCACTGTAAAAATTGTATTAAAAACGGATTATTGAAATGTTGTGTTACTTTAATGTGGAATTTATTTGTATATATAAATATATGTTAAAATATATGTTATAAATATATGTTTGGAATATATATGATACAAATATATGTATATAAATATATGTTAGATTGACATATACATCTCATTAAAATAACACAAAAATTTCATTGAATTGTTTTTAACACATTTTTTACTGTGTATCATCTATGATATATCGTATCGTACAAATTTATGCAGATGAAGAATCTTCTTATCGAAATGAGGAACAGTTGGAACTTAGCAACACTCAACGCTCAAATACAAATTTTAAGAAAGTATACGGATAAAGGCAAGAAGTTGACTAAGATATACGCAGGTAAGATACCTCGAGAGGTTCACTTCGTTCCCTTCAACTTTTGAATTCGATATTCGCGTTTGTTCTTCGCGTCTGTTAATCCTTAAGCGTACGATAACAGTAGTCGGATGAAATTCCGAAATTTCCTCCTGTTTTCCTACACTTTTACTTTTACAGCTATAATGTACAGCAGCATGTCTATGTACATGACTTTACCCATCATACCATCCATTGTGGCTTTCTTCACGAACGCCAACCAGACCCAAATGTACGGCCTGCTATATCACGTGGAGACGATTTTCAACGTAGAGAGATACTATTACTTTATCCTGCTGCATTCTTATTATACTACCTTCTTCTTGATGACTATTCCAGTAGCGACGGATTCTATGCTGGTGATTTATGTGCAACACGCATGCGGTCTTTTCGAAGCCATAGGGTACGTACGTCCGCACGAGAAAACGTAAAAAGTCACAACGACGCTCTACTACAAATTTTTGTGTTACAAAGGCGAAAACCAAAACTTTATATTCTTACGATTGTGTCTATTTGTAAAAAAACAAAGTAGAATTCTAAAAGTGGAACAATTTCCCGGAAAGTAAGAATCCCGAAATTTGAACATCGTGGCAATTTCCCAAAACACAATTTTTCTGAAAAATTATAATAATAAAATTTCCAGATAATCAGCCAATCTCTAAAAATATTTCAAAACATTTTTACAATTTGCTCAGATATCAATTGGAAAATATAAAACAGAATGATCGCACCGACATTAACATCTATCCGCAATACAAGGACGACGAGCATTATCGTATAATCAGCGACAGCGCTGCAAAGCACATAGAAGTTTTACAGTAAGTGTTTTAGATACACCGACGATAAATCAGTTTTACTAGCGAAGAACATAAATTGTCTAATTTAACAGGACTTGATTTTAAATAACAAAGCTATTACGCGCTCTCATTTTTTCGTAAATCGCGACAGTATCAAATATATATTCTATTACTCCATCAGGTTTTCCAAATTATTGACATCTACATACAGCATATCTTTACTTATATTGACAATATTAAACGTGGCGGTCATGACATTCAGCGGACTGGTGGTTCGTATTAATATCATCAGACGAATGTGCCCCAAAATGGCTTGCTTAAGTAGCAGTCTGTTTTTCTCTACGATTAGGCCTTGATCAACATAAATCGACCTCTGGAGGCGTTCAGATACGCGGTAACGTGTTTGTGTTTGACGATGCATTTTCTCTTTCTCAGTATGCCGGGTCAGCAACTGATTGACCATAGTTCTAATGTATACGAATCTATGTGAGTAGGCGAATATAAAAATATATTGAATTTTAATACGAGGGTGGATCAAATATAAACGAGCATTTTTAAGTTGCGCGCCCGTCGGCGGCGTGAGAAGTCTGCAACGTTTTGGACAGTGAATGGGGGTCATGTGGAAGGCAGTAATAACGTTGGCGCGCCACGTGCTTCTTACTCTCAGCAGTAATCACAATGAGCAAGAAAGACGTACATCCCGCAGTTGCACAACCTGTTATTATTAAGTTCTTCGTTAACGAAAATGTAAATGCTGCTGAAATTCGGCGCCGTTTACTCCCACAATTTGGGGAGAATACCTCTTCTTGGGTTTGGGTGAAGGAGTGATGTAACGAATTTAAGAAAGGACGGGAGCGAATTTAAGAAAGGACTCTGTTGAAAATATTGCCAACCCGCGCCATCCCCGCACCAACATCACAGCGCAGAATACCGAGGCTGTTCGAGAACTCATCGAAGACGATCGGCACTTAACTATTCTTGAAATCTCTCAGGAACTTCAATTCGAGCTGCCTATCGGTAAAAACGGCGCGGCATTTCGATCAAAAGTATGTTTTTTCTCCGTGATAACGTCAGACCTTACACCGCAGCAGTAACGCAACAAAAATTGGCCGATATGCACTGGGCTGTCCTAGAACATCCACCCTACAGCCCAGACTTGTCACCATGCGAATTCAATTTGTTTGGGCCACTCAAGGAAGCTTTTAGTAAACAGCGCTTCACAACGAACGAGGAGGTACAGCAGTTCGTGTGCAATTGGTTTGTTAAACGTCCGCTAACTTTTTATGATACTGGGATTAAAAAATTACCAGACCGTTAGTGGAAGTATATAGTTAAGATAGGGGACTATGTAGAAAAATAAGAAAAATATTAATTAGAATTTATTTTGAAAAATATATGGTTTTCTGCAAAAGGCTCCTTTATATTTGATCTACCCTGGTATAACCTTAATATTCAATCCATAACTAGTCTATGTAAAATGATTACATTTGCGTAGTATTTAGATATGAGGTTACATTATGGCTGTTGTTCATTCGGCTAATTTGTTATTTTGACAGTTTGACGAATCGTATTATATACTTAAATACGATAAAAATAATTAGAAAAAATAGTAAGCTTTGATATAGTAAATAGTAATTAACCGTTTGAGTGCCACGCGTCTCTGCTGTTTCCCCGTCCAAACGTGCCAAGGAGCGCTTTTTCGCTTGTCTTATTCCCCATCCAGAAATACCAAACGAAGCAATAGCGCTTGTCTTATTCTCCGATGATTGCATCCAAATGTTAGATTGCAATTAAAATTCGTTCTTTTATCAGTTGTCTCATTATTTCATTTTTATCTAAAACGGAATGGTAGCCGTAAAGTCGCGCACCGACAGAAGCCGATCGTGTGCCGGTTATCGGCTTTGCAGCCTAGAACGCTGGTACTTTTCGAGCGAAACAGAAGAAACGCAAAATCGCTCCTTGGCACTCAAACGGTTAAGGTTTTATTGCAGCTTAATAACTCACAATAATAAACAAATATCCCGTCTAGCAGTTATGCTGTTAAATGGTATGCTATTTCCGTGAGAGCGAGAAAATTGTTGAACCTGATGTTAATACGCTGCAGAACACCGTGTCAAATTACAGCGGGGAAGATGAGCATTATGTCGTTAAAAACTTTTAGCACGGTAAGAAATTAACGTACGAGGCGCATTTAGAGCCGTCAACCGTTCGGGGCAATTAATGACACAAAATCAGAAAATATTACTGTTGAAAAGAAATTTCAATTTTATTTATTAGAGTCTGTGCATGGATATAATGTATGGTTTTTATAATGCGATATAACACATCGGCTGATAAGTTCCCGTGCTGACACACAGAGGACGTTGCAATCGCTGAACCGATGCTTGTTTTAGTAAATACTAACCTTTAG